ATAATTACCTTTCGGAAGGGCGTCTGGTCAATGGACAGTGGCTTGGCTACGAGGTTGGCCTCGCCTGCTCGAGTTGAGGCCTTCAAGTTCTCCTGGGCGATAATAGCTCGCGAGTCTCCGACGTTAGAGACGTGGATTTCGTTGCCACAGAAGAGCACGGAGATGGACGTAGTGCCGCTCATGGAGTCGTCGAAGCTGGCCTCGTGCATGGCTCGGTTGGTCTGCACATGGGCTCGTGTGAGGGCTGGTAGAGTGCTCATATTCTCCTCCAGGTTCTTGATAATGTTTTCGGGCAATTGTTCGGCCGCAAACTGCGAGCAAATGTCTCCATATTGGCCGTGGCCGTCAAAGACTGCGAAAAAAGCCTTCTGGTCGTCTCCAGCGAAGTGCGTCTCGCAGTAATAGCTGTCCTGGTTCGCCTTCTTCCGCGCTACAATGAACGAAATGTCAGATTCTACCGCGTTCTACCTTTTTCTATTGTCGCCCTACCTTCGGGATAGTAGCCGCGTTTCGAGTAGTACGAGTAGCGGAGGTTGTAGTCCCCGATCTTGACGTGGTGGGTGTTCTCCAAGTGCTTGTTACTGGGTCTATGTTGCGGTACAAAGTCGTCTTCCGGCTCCTCGGGCGCCTGGGAGGGCGAGGAAGGCGACGATGGAGACGGTGAAGACGCAGGCTCCTCGTCTTTAATACGCGGCTCCGTGTCCTCCGTTTCCGCGTATTTGTGGGGCGAAGGGAGAGCGGCGAAGGGCACGGAATGCACCTCGTCCTTGTCGGCGCCTGAGCGACGCGCCACGACGGCCGAGGCCTCGGAGGAGCAGCAGTTCCCCATTTTTCAAGTGACGTTTCCCTTTTGTGCCGCTTTCCGCACTGGGTGGGACCTGTTGCCTTTTCGTCGGAGCGTGGAAGAGATGTTCGGGGCTGGCTTCCACACTGACAAAACAGTCGCCTTGTTGCGGTTTTTGGGACGAATGGGCGCTCAGATGGCGAGTTTTGGGTACACAGCTGACATTTGAGTCATCCGCTCTGCAATACAAACCGGAAATTAGGCGCAACCGAAGTACCGGTAAAATAAGAAATAGGAGCAGTTTTTTTTTTCACTAGCTGGACGCGCTTCTGTCTTGTACGCAGAAGGAAGCATGTTTCCTAGCATGCTAGCCTCATAAAGTCGCTTTGCAAAGACTCGTGATGAATTCCTTTTCCCCAAACTGTATCTCGTTACCTGTCGTCAAGTTATACAAGCTTACCAGCTATTGTAACAATTCTTCAAACGAACAGGATGATTAACAAGGTTGACGTCAGGTTATACCATCCGACCTCAACGGATCCTTTCGCCATCCAGACATTAAAAAAAAACTTATGCAACCTCGCTTGGCGAATTTTTTCGACGTCGATTCCTCCGTGGCATTTTCAACTCCGACACATGCATGCAGTTTAATTTTGGGTCAATCCGACTTCGAGATAGGATCTTTTGCACTTTCCACGACTGAAGCACAAATGTACTCTATTTATTGCACCACACATCCCTTAGAGTCCTATTCAAATGCATCCATCATTGCAGCACAATTTGCAAAACGAGGCAGCTGAAAAAAAAAAATCGAACCAGGTCTTGTCACAAAAACAAAGCGCACTTCCTCCCAACAAAATTATACTGTAGTTATATCTACAATAATATTCCAAGATTCACAAAAGTTCAACTTCAGTTCCCTAAAAGATCGTAAAGACCATGGTAGTGCGGGCATGGAGCTGGACCCGCATCGACGGCCGCAATGTGCTGGCCGTGCCCACGCAGACGGAGATCCGTCTGTACGACAGCGACGACTTCATCCTTCTCTCGCGTCTCGCGCCGTCGGGCCACCACTCGCCTGTGGCGTTCGTGCGTTGGAGCGCTTTTCACGGTCGTTTAGCGTCGCTCTCGAGTTCCCTGATCCTCGTACACGCACCGCAGCGAGACCCACAGACCCGTGGCCACGTGCAGTTTGTAGCCATATGTTCTTTCCGCCTAGACGAAGCACACGCGAGTATCCGCGGGCTCGCTTTCTCCCGTAGTGCGGATGAACTGCTCTACTGTGGGGTAGAAGCGGGTGTAGGCAAGCTGGACGTGCGTGGCTCAAGCTCTAGCCTCGACCAAGCCCCAGTACTATGGGAAAACGAAACAGAGGCCTGTGAAGTGGCCAAGTATTCACCCAGTGCCTTTATCTTTGCCACTCTGGCGATGAAACAGGTGAAAGTCTGGAGGATGAAGAGAAAACTGGGGGATTTTGACCAGAATCAGACGCTATATAAAGTGGAGAACTTGACGCATCCCGATCCAGTGGTGTATTTCTCGTGGAAACCTTCAACCACTCAGTGGCATTCGACTCTGGAGACAGATGGGACCAGGAAGGCTCAGTGGTTCGAGCCTGCGAGGATTTTATTAACGTGTACAGCTACGAGGACAGTCAGGATATGGACGGAGACAGCGGGTGCGGAGTTTAACCCTGTGTTGGTGTTTGAACCCACGTACCCGATTGATAATCTACGCTGGGTTATGTCCAAGAACAGGAATATCAGTGATGAGAACTTCCAGGTGGTGAACGATGTGAATGACACACACGCAGATTGGATCTCAGGGGTGGATCAGAGTGGAATTTTGAGGTTGTGGAGAGTTGTGGGCATTGTGTCGTCCAATCCGACGGTGGAGGAGACGACGCTGCAGATTAAAGTGAATGGCGAAGACGACAAGCAGAATATGGGC